AGTCAGTTGTGTTATGGCCTGTGTTTTTAATTAAAAAAATATTAATAAAAATATATGTATCTAGAAAAAAATAACCGAAATACTTATACAGCCTTTATAATACAGGGGCTAGCAACAAAGTGTTAAACATGTTATTCATTCAAGCATTTTTACGTGCATTAATTCTGTCACAGTAATTTATGTTTATTTTGACATCCTTATAGCATTGTTTTTAGAGGCTTCAAAAACAATGGTATAAGTATGTCAAATTAAACATAAATTACAAAAAAGCATAAAAAAGAAATAAAATGTTAACGTTGCAACGTGTTTAGGGTTGGGAAAATTTCACTTTTTGCTTGTACTTGAAATTTCAAATTTATTAAAATTTCATAAATTTCATAAATTTCTGAAATTTCATGAAATTTATGAAATTTATTGAAACTTTCAATAAATTTCAATCACTTTAGTGTAATATATTAATATTAAAATAAGCCCACTCGGGGACCATGGCAAATTACCTCTCTTACCTCCTACCCCTCTGTGGGCCGCTGCACCAATAATATAAATAGTAAACACCTATGATTACCACAAATTTCTTGAGATTTCTATTTAAAATATTTTTTAAATTACTAAAACTACACGGAAAAAAATAATCGGTAGAGGCTACCGATTGGCAATCGGTAGCAGCTACCAATTGCCAATCGGTAGACTCTACCGAAAAAATCGGTAGACTCTACCGATAAAATCGGTAGTCTCTACCGAAAAAAAATTGGTTCCCTCAACCGATTTTTATCGGTAGCAGCTACCGATTATTTTCGGTGGAGTCTACCGATTTTTTCGGTGCAGGCTACCGAAAAAATCGATTACCAATTTTTGAAAATTTTTGTATTTTTTAGCGAGAAGTTAAATACTCGCTTTTTATTAAATAGAAAATAGTATTTTTTTTTGAGGTATAAATAAATTTGAAATACAAAAATTTTAAAAATGAGGAGTAATTTTTATTAACTTGAATAATGTTTAATATTATTTTTAAATGTTAATATTTTTAAGTATTAATATTTTTTTTTTAATTTTCTAACAGCGCATCGATGCGGATTTTCTCGGTTACGGCTACCGAAAAAATCGGTAGACTCTACCGAAAAAATCGGTAGACTCTACCGAAAAATAATCGGTAGCTACTACCGATAAAAATCGGTTGAGGGAACCGATTTTTTTTCGGTAGAGACTACCGATTTTTTCGGTAGAGTCTACCGATTTTTTCGGTAGAGTCTACCGATTGGCAATCGGTAGCTGCTACCGATTGCCAATTGGTAGCCTCTACCGATTATTTTTTTCCGTGTAAAAGAGCACTTTTTGGTAAGCTAATGAGATTGTGCCACTTTCATTGTTTTATATTTATATTTATTATTTTTAAATATTTTACTGAAATTTTACGAAAATTGAAGAAAATTCATCAAAATTTTAAGAGCCAAAGGCATTTTTTATCCGTTTTCCGATGCAATTATAGCAAAAGTAAAAGTTTAAATTAATCATGACTTATAAAAAAAATTTAAAGTCTGATTTAATTTACAAATTAAATTGGTAACTGAATTAAATTAATTTATGCATATAAGTAACAATAATTACTTATAGTGTATTCAAATCCAAGCCGAACTAAACAAAAACGCCCAGATTATTATTAAAGGTGAAATTTATGCGAAATTTTCAGTAAATTGCGAAACTTTCAATGAAATTTCTGAAACTTTCACAGGCAATGTTGAAATTTTCGGATTGAAAATTTCATTTGAAATTTTTAAAAATTTCACTTTTCCAACTAAATGAAATATTTCAAGTTTGAAACTTTCAAAGTCGAAATTTTCATTTGAAAATTTCAACTGTCCCAACCCTAAACGTGTTAGAAAATTCTGTGTCCTAAAATTTTGACAAAGTGGAAAATGCTGGTTTTGCTTGTATACCCCTCATTTAGAACATTGTGCGGCCGAAAAATTCAAATTCCAAAAGCAAATAGACAAATAGGAGATGATAATGAAAGGGGCGAAACGCTTATATATAATATCCCTTTTTTTTTCGTTATTTATATTGTGTACTCTTTGTTTGGCCTGATTTTAATTGTTTTCGTAAATATTTGTAGGTCACTTAAAGACTATAAGATAAGTTTACTACGACAATTAATCAGTAAAATATGAATAAAATAATGTTTTACGATAACGTGTAGAATAGTATATTCTGTAACAAGTTTGGAATACGGCGGTTTCACGAGAGGGGAATATTTAATTCCAAATGTGTTTCAGACTATACTTTTTCTACGTTTCCAAAAAATACCATAGACAAATAATTTAATTGGAAGAAAGTGAGGTTGGATCGGTCTAAAATTTGTTAGATATTAAAAACAGAGATGTCGCCGTTTTTAGTTTATTCTGTCATCAGATGATAGAATAGGTATTTCATTCTGTAACACTATACGGAATATATGTCATTCTATAGATAAAAGTGATATTAGAACGGTCATATTCCATAATAGGAGTAGAAAAATGATTTTATTTTTTGGAAATGATGTTGGATGATAAGGCTTAGTTCAGTTTATTCTCGAAATACACAAAGCCCGGCCTCCGAAAGTTACAAATTGTTATGATGGTTTAATACATGGAGCCCACACAAGGAGCCCAAACATAATAGGGGAAATTGACAAAACCCAGTGCTGGATTAACCTATAGGCCAACCTAAGCCATGGCCTAGGGCGCCCAGGCAGAAGGCCAATTTTTTTAAGTAGGTTAAATATTAAAATTAATCAATTAAATTAAATAATTATAATTATTAAACATGGAATACCTACTCTCTAAAAAAGAATTAGTCAAAAATGACTAATTTAATAGTTATTAGTGTCTGCTTTTTCATGTACCATGGTATCCCAAAATTTAACAGCCAATTCTTATGAAAAATTGTCCCTGAATCCGAAAATTTCGTCAAGTTAATATATTGGATGTTAAATTTTGTGATATCATGGTATTCCATGGTTAACCATGGTACAAGTGAAAAGGCAGCCACTAATAACTATTAAATAAGTCATTTTTGACTAATGCATTTTTAGAGAGTACCCTTTTTTATTTTAATAATAAAATCGGAAATATGAATAATTTTTTTATTCTTTGATGGATGTCGCCTATACCTCAGCGCGAGCCGACAATGCACTGCGCCCCTTCTAAAAAAATGTTGCATGCATGATCAATAATATATAATATTTAATTTTTGAATTCTTCTTTAACTGCTTCGGAAATATTAAAAAAGTAACATTAAAAAACGATAAATATTTGATTAGAGAAATTTGCTACAACACACATGATCATTTGTATTGTAGAGAATTTCGATATGGTTTCAGCAAGATGGAGGACTGTCTCATTACCGAATCAATGTCCGGCAGTACCTCAACCGAATATTTCCAAATCGGTGGATAGGGCTGTGCGATCCCCTGATCTGACGCCATTATACTTCTTCCTATGGGGATATGTCAAAAGTTTTGTATACAAAACCAAACCCCTCGACTTAGCTGACTTAATATAAGAAACGATTAACGCTGGCGATTAGATCGGTCACGCCTCAGATGTTGAGTAACGTTAGAAGCAATTTCTATTTAAGATTAGGATGTTGCCAAGTCGTTCACGGCGGGCATTTTGAGCATCTCTGGTGATTTTTTTGTTACATTATTAAGAAATAAATAGTATTACTTTAAGTAATTTAATTTAAGTAATTAGTTTTTCAGTGTGTTGTAGCAAATTTCTGTAATCAAATAATTAATTTTTTTATATTTTCGAAACAGTTGAAGGCATATCACAATGTACATAAAATATGTCTACAATTTATAGAAGAACCCAAAAATTGAATAACATACATGATGTTGCATTTCAAATAAGAAAGTTGGTATTGGCCACTGCTACATGACACACCCTGTAGAAAAAAAAATTGGTAAAAAAAATGCGTAAACAAAAATACCAATTGGAGTACGCCTCCAATTATGTATTATCGTGTTATTGCCGAGTTTTTAAACTTAAATGTTTGCCGAATTTTACCGTCCATAAGTCAATTTTTTTGTCATCAAATCTGTTGTCTTGAAAATAATGTAACTTATGTGTTATAACCAAAAAATAAATCCGGATTTTACAAAACCACACAAAATAACATTTTGGCAAGATAATATTATGTTAAAATGAAAAAAAAATTGTATTTTAGTTTTTTTGGAAAAATATTTTGAGGGGTTGAGACACTTCGGGGGTCTTGACTCGTCACATTCATTCACAAGGGAGAAAAAAGGGGGTCAATTTCGACCATATTTAGCGTCAGAGATTTATGGACGGCCCCTAATCACTAAGAGGTATTTATTAAAACGTCTATATTTAGACTAAAAAAGTTTTTTATTGTTTTTATTGTCATGTAAAGTTATAATTTATTAACAAATTGTAAATAAACTTTTCAGGTTTAAAAAATCAATTTAAGTCCTTCAAATTTTGAAAACAAACACAGTCCGCGCGTTATAACTTGGCGAAGCTCGACGCATGTAGGCGTAGCCGTTGGCACTTGTTTACTGCCTACCAGCGACGTCGAAGGTTAAGATTAAATTTTAAAGAGTGAAATAAACAAAATAATTTTTCAAAAAAGTTGGGGAAGAAAAAATATAAGTCCAATCTCTCAAACCAAATTTATTAATTAGTACGACCGGTTTCGCAAGTTTATTTTAATTTACTTGCATCTTCAGGTACCCTCTTTTTTAATCTACAAAAAACAACAAACTTTTTATTCCTCACCTTAACATTAAAACATATATTAAAAATTAAAAACATATATTAAAAACTCTTTTTTTCCCTTAAGTCTATGTATATAAAAAATTAAAGCCAATGTGTAACAAAATTTCTTTAAAATTCTTTAAATAATTGAAAATGACAAAACACAAAAAACGTGGTTTATTAACCTATAAAAAAGTTTTCAAAGTGATAAAGGCAACTGCAACCTATTCTAGTTATTATACTTACAATTCAGCATTAATGATGAAGCTATCTTATCATAGAGTCTAATTAAACAATTAAAATTCATTATTTATTTCGAAACTTATTACAAAAATTCATTTCAATGTGGTCTTGACCGTGAAGAGAGAAACAATGTCGTTGTCAGCGATAATTACGTGGAACTAAACCCCGGTGGCGCCCTCTGTTATCCAAAAAATTAATCAAAAAAACCATGTTAGAGAAAAAACCCCCCGCAAAATTCACAAAAATCCAATTTAATTTATTTATTTATTTCGAAACTTATTACAAAAATTCATTCAATGTGTCACGGTCAAGACCACATTGAATGAATTTTTGTAATAAGTTTCGAAATAAATAAATAAATTAAATTGGATTTTTGTGAATTTTGCGGGGGGTTTTTTCTCTAACATGGTTTTTTTGATTAATTTTTTGGATAACAGAGGGCGCCACCGGGGTTTAGTTCCACGTAATTATCGCTGACAACGACATTGTTTCTCTCTTCACGGTCAAGACCACATTGAAATGAATTTTTGTAATAAGTTTCGAAATAAATAATGAATTTTAATTGTTTAATTAGACTCTATGATAAGATAGCTTCATCATTAATGCTGAATTGTAAGTATAATAACTAGAATAGGTTGCAGTTGCCTTTATCACTTTGAAAACTTTTTTATAGGTTAATAAACCACGTTTTTTGTGTTTTGTCATTTTCAATTATTTAAAGAATTTTAAAGAAATTTTGTTACACATTGGCTTTAATTTTTTATATACATAGACTTAAGGGAAAAAAAGAGTTTTTAATATATGTTTTTAATTTTTAATATATGTTTTAATGTTAAGGTGAGGAATAAAAAGTTTGTTGTTTTTTGTAGATTAAAAAAGAGGGTACCTGAAGATGCAAGTAAATTAAAATAAACTTGCGAAACCGGTCGTACTAATTAATAAATTTGGTTTGAGAGATTGGACTTATATTTTTTCTTCCCCAACTTTTTTGAATTGGTAGTTACTCTCATTATGGATTTCATACATAAAGTAAAAAAAAAAAAAAAAAAAAAATAATTTTTAATTATTAAATATATATATTTAGGTTTAATATTGTAGATACTTTTTATCCCGGTATGAATTAAACATTCATTGGTACAATTCCTAAATTATTAATTTCTCGAGATTGACTTCCAAGAACTTTATTATGTGTATTTTTCGTTTCCGCCATTACTTCTTCACTTGACAATATTGCTTCTTAGATTATTTTTGGTAATGCTTCATTTTGGTTATATACGTATTTAGGTATATTTATAGTGAGTAAATAAGGTACCTTTGTTACTGCTTTGTTACCTTTACTTAAAAATTGTATTTTATACAAGTAAAATATATTGTACGTAATTATATAACTAAAAAGTACCTTTTAAGATTAGGTATACTATTTTATTATAAGGTATACCTTTACTTTTTTAATTTAATATATTTTTTAATCTAGTTTATCAATAATTTTGCGATACTATGAAAGTTGGGTTCAATTTCTATACAATAAATAAAAAGTTGCTACTTTCAGCACGCATATCCGTGCGGAAAGTAGCAACTTTAAGCACAAGGACGACCAACTTATACAAAAGTTTATATACAAAAGTGCTCTTTTAGTTCCACCCTTACTTCCTAAGAAGTCCCAGAAGCCAACTGAATGGCTTGTGCGGGTTAGGGGTAGGAACGGACCGCGGGCTTAACGTCCCCTCCGAAGGACTATTACACAATAGGACAAACACAAATAAACAGCCATACCCCTGGTGGGATTCGAACCCACGACCTCCGGCTTGTAGTCAGCAGCACTAACCACTATTCCACGACGTTCGAAATTCCGTGTCCACCACTGTACTTAATTTTTTTTTAAATAAAACCGGCGTACACACAATACGGACAATGATCAGGGATTATTTCTTTAAAAATATGGACGACATTGATCCGGAAGATATGGTGTTACAGCAGGTTGGCCGCTACGTGTCATAATTGCCTTATTTTGTTGGGAGGGTTGAGTAATGGGTTGCGGCGGGTAATGGTGGACACAAAGTTATTTTAAATTTTGCTGTGAAGTGGAGTTTTGCACTATGCTAAGCGGGCCCTGAATTGTTTGCGCGATCATTTGTGAGGTTAGTTCGCAAAAGACAGTCGTGATATCGGTTTGTCGATCTGTTTAAAATTTTTTATTAGTTTTCGGCGGCAGAAAACAAGGCGTTAAAGCCACAATTTTTATTCATTTTGAGTAGGGAAATCGTGCGCATCGTAACTATGACGAGCTAGACGATGCTGAATTGAGCTTCACACAACCTTATTCTTAAACGCCTTTTTAATTTAGGTTAACCCACAATGTGGGTTAACCTAACAATATATTTTGTATTTGTGGAGACATTGGTAATAATAAAAAATTATGGTACCGCTTTGTGTAACACAAATTGTGTTATGTTCTCTATTGAACCAGACTGTACAGGTGAAGACATCCCAATTAAACTTTTTATTTTTGGTGTGGTATTATAATTAAAATATTATTTAACTTTCTTCCAGAATTCTTGCGCGCTGTATACTAATATTTTCTTTAAAAAATATTTTACTTATAAACAGCTGTTAGGGTGTCCAAATTTATCTGCGCACCATTGCTAACTTTGTTATTATTGGAGCTACAAAGTCGTTGTAATTTTTTCTTCGTATTAAATTGGTGACAACAGAAAAACGTTGGGTTTATATTCATAAAAATAACATTTTTTTTTAATTGAACAACCTGAATATTTTTATTTATTTTAAAAGAATATTTAATTTGTAACAAAAAATTATTATTGCATAACTACCCTAAACCTTAAAAGATAAACAAATAACAAGCACTTAAACTTTTTGATTATTGTTAAAATAATTATTAAAAAGTAATAATTTGGTTATTTAGAAAGTTCAAGAGCCACAAACATTTAAAAATGTATAGCAAATATATTTGACGAATAGGTAGCTCGACGAATGTTCTCCCTTAAGGTACGGTTTCGTTGATACGACTCGCGGCTGCGGCGAAGAAATTCAAAAATATTCCTCAATTTTGGACTATGAAGATGAAGCCTACAAGAAAATTGTAATTAAAAAGAATGGGCGGAAAAATATAGCATTTTCTGTGGAAAAAAATAGTAAGTACATAGTATATAGTTTTGAATTTGTCGCCATAAAAACCACATAAAAATATAAATTTTAATTTGTATTATGTTTATTAGAGATTGTATAACTATAGTTATACAATATATAAATAGTTATACTATACTATATACTATAGTTATACAATATATAAATTAGCGCCCCATGTTAATTCTTTAAAATCAAAACATTTTTATTTATTTCGTTTCTTCAGGCTGTCTTAAATCGTTTGTATATTTTATATTATAAAAAATATAATTTTATTATTGTACCTGCTTATTTAAATAAACAAATATATTTTCGTGATTTTTATTTAGTTTTCCAATAGGTAAGTCTGAAATGACCTTAAAACATCAACAGGGCTGTCGCTACCGGGGGTGCAAGGTGTGCGGCGCACAAAACAATATATTTTAACAAATCTTACAGAAGGCTGTGTAACAAATTTAAATTGGATGCGATTAGTTGTACTGTACAACTTGTACAAAAAATAAACTTAAAAACCCCTAAATGAAGAGCTTATAATTGTATATACATACATGTATTACATACATTATAACAGTTCATAAACAATTATTTTAAGGGTAAACCGGTAAAAGAATGAACATATTTTTAATACATACATAGTTTATAAATAGTTATTTTATAAAAAGTGTTTATTTTTTTCAGCTGGCTTTATTTATACACACACATACAGTATGTCCACGAATTAAGTTACAAAGAGGGATTTTTTTTTTATTTTTAATTTATCAGAAAAATTTACTTTTGATAAAATGATCTGCTTATCTTCAAACCCTTAAAACTCATCTCGATTTACATTTAATTTTCTACTTACATTTGTATACCAAATTTGGACTTGGTTAAAATTTTATTTAAAATTGGAAGGCATACAATATCTAGAATTTATATAATATTTGAAAATGCATCAAATATCTTCATTTAAAGTTCCCAAACTTTATAAAAAAGCGTTCATTAGAATGACAACTCCAGAAAAAGCCATTAAGGACTTTAAAGTTTCTTCTCAAGAAGACTTTAAGCAAGCTCAAGTCCATAACATCAGTCCAAATATCAGTAGAACATGAACTCCAGAAATCCAGAAAACATCAGAATATATAAATATTAAAGAAAATCAGCAAATTGCAGAATCTCAATTGTCAGTGAATCAGAACAATTTAGAAAAAGCAGCATCATTAAATAATCCACACACACAGTAGTCCTACCGTCAATTTCCAAAGTTACTAGAAAGACAACCACGAAACCGCATTTCCAAATATTAACTGAAAGTAAAATAGTATATTAAAGTACAAGTTGCAGAAGGCCACATATTCTCGCACGAATTCGAAATTTGGCCTCGAGCGACGAAGGAGCGAGTGGACGAACGAATGAGTGCCAGAATAGCCTTCTGCAACGTGTGATTTATACTATTTTCTCGATTTTAACTTTTATTTAGGTTTTTTTAATTGTTTTGTGGTCGTTGTTAGTTAGGGGATTTTTCTCGCAAAATGTCAGTTGGCCACACAAAATGACAATATTTGTTATCCTGCACAAGTACAACCTGAACTGCACTTTTTTACATTAAACTTAAAATTTTGCATTAAAATGCATTGTTGGAGCAAGCTTAATATTACAAAACAATAATAAAGGCTTCATTTTCATTAAAAGTAATGAATTTGAGGTTATTAATCAGTTTGACATTTTGGGGGTACCAATACTTAAAAACTAAATGTTACCAAAAATCGTTTAAGAATGAGCTTCATTCTTCAACGATTTTGCGTGCAAGAATATGACATTCTTACATAAAAATCGAGAAAATAACTAATAATCATGTCCATTAAAAAAAGTTTTTAGTGCAGATTAGGAACAAAAGTCTATACATACATGTTGGTGCGAATTTTATTTCCCACCATTGCAATGCATTGGCATGAACCGTATACGCGTAAGATACGAAGTTGGTTAAATAGGTAACAAAGAAGTTGCGCTATTTTAT